CAGGGAAATTACATGCTCCAATGTCATTGGTGCTTTCTTAACCACCAAATCCATAGTGTCTTCTCAATCATTATCATCCTGAATCTCTTCATAGTACCTGACCCTGTGATCTCCCTCTTTTCACAAAATGCTCATTTCCCTTGTCTGCTACATCATCATATTAGCCTGATTTTCTAATCTCTTTCAACCTGCTCTTTGTAGGTTTCTATGCCAGATGCTTTCTCATTCATCCTTAACTATCACTTCCCAATTTTTACTCAGCTGTGACACAAGACTGATGTTTACATGGGCGGCACATTCCTATGGGCAATCTCAGGGTGACGCTAGATTCCTTTCAAACTCAAAAAAGCATTTGTACAAGTAAGAATGACAATCACAGGGAAATTACAATCTGCTTAAAATTAATTTTATAAGTAAAAATCATTTGTTATCAATCCTAGGTACCTTAAGTACTGTTGTTAGAAACAAATTATTTGCCCTATACAGGCATTCTCCGAGGCTGTAGTTGAGGCCCTTAGCTACCCCTAAGTACATCCTTGCCAATCTCATCCTGCAGAGCCTCAACTCACACCACGGTGCAGGGGACTCCCAAATCTGCTTCTCCTGCTCTGATCACTCTCTGAGCTCGGGACTCACATGTGCAAGTCACCTAAGTGTCCTGGTAAAAATCTTAAATCAGCCAAGCCAAAACCAAAAATATTTTTACACTAAACATGGTTCTGCTTTCCCACTTCCCTATTTTAGATGATGGCACCACCGGTTTAAAACCTCAAACGTGTCTTAGGCTGCCATCTCTCCATAGACACAACAAGTCCTATAAATTCTACTTCCATGATATTCTTGTACCCATGCTCTCCTTTCCATTCCCTCTACCATCACCCTGTCACTGATCATCATCATTTCTTTTCATCTGGACTCTTGCTCATATGTCTCTGAGCTCTATCCTCCGTATTCATACCCTTGTTGCTAGCAAATTAGTCTGTCTACAACAAGGGTCACACACTGTAAGACCTAGAAGCCAGCAAGATCATATAAATGAGTGAAGCAAGCCAGGTGTTTGTATGTTAAACACATAAGATTATTCACTTCCATAAAGAAGTATGTTCTCTCCTACTTTTTAGCACATGCAGACTTCTTATCTATCATTTACTTTACCGACTTGATAGAAATATTGGTACAGAAAATTGATTCTCTACCACTACTAAAAAGCAACACTATAAGAACAGTAATAAATGGCAACTGACCAGGTGTCAGTAAAAGGGAGAAAACAGAGTGGTGGGGACACACTGCATAGCCCTAATCCATTCAGAGGAGACAGCGGCTCAGCTATGGTTGATCATAGCATCGCAATGGGGGAGTTAGTATTGCCAAAATCTTTGGAATTTTTAAAGAGAAGCCAAAAATCTAGATTTTGTTACTTGGTTTCTCTTGCTCACAAATAATTAAGTAACTAATCAGAATGATAGAGCCTCATAAGCCCTCCCATTCTGCATCAAGCCTTTTCTCATTAATTCTGGTTCCCAAATTTAGCTCACAGCAATTGCCTGGGGAAGTGAAACAATATAAGAAATGCTTATGAGAGGCCACACAGGACCAGACTTCACTTTTTGGACCTTTCTTCACACACAGGTCATGTGTTGACCTGGAAATACACAATGAACCCCAAAATTAATCACGTCCCAAAGGGTGGGTCACCAAATCCTCAGACCAACCTAGCAGGTCCCTAAATCTGCAGTTCACTCCCTACTCCCCAATTTAATTTCTCTTTGCCCCAATAAATACATCTGTTTTAAGGGAACAAACTGCTTATATCACCTCACTCGCTAATCGTTTCCCCCTTTTTGGTCAATGCTTCTCTTCACAGTCCTGCTCAAAATGCACCTCCCCCCAAGGAAGCACTTCTTGATGAACTCGTTTTATGTCTTCTCATAGTTAGTCTACACTTATGGAGGCTTGCAGAGTTGTATTAAGCATTTTTATGTATTTCTGAAATTAGCCAGTGAATTTCTACAGGGAAGGAACAGACCTTTTTCTTTCCCATTCATGACCATCCCAAACTTCCAACAGGCGTATTCCAGGGCATGAAGAGTGTTGGGGAGGGAGCCACAGACTGATGCTGCTAAAGCACCTGACAGGTCTCCCAGAGCCAAACCGCAGCTCCATAGGGTAGTATAGAGCAGTACCCGAATCAGTCCACACCCCGCCTTACCCGTCAGTTCCCCAGTCAGGTAAGTTGCCATTTTGGAGAACATGTCCCGGCAGAGCTCCGTGATGTCAGCTTCAGCCGGCTCCTTTGCTTCCTCAGCTGTTTCCACCGCGGCATCGTCTGGATCAAAGGAGAACGGGTAAGTGTCCCACCGTACACCGGGACCTAATCCAGCGATGGCATCTTCTCCCCACACCCCTTCACTAGTCCTCATTCGATCAAGTCGGCTCCATTCTCCATGTGCCATAATTTCAAGTCCCTCACTTTGTCCTTGCCCCACCTGACACGCCAACTCTGCTCCCTGGCCACCGGCCCTTGGCTCACGCCCGATCCCGCGCCAAACTATCTCAGTCGCCCGGTCAGGTGCTCCCCTCCGACCTGCTTGCTCCTGCCAAGCGAGCCCCCGGCCTCCTGCTGGACACTTCATCCCCAACCACTCTGCGTACCTCGAACAGGCTCCTCTCTTTGGGTCGCCGGGACATCCTCGGCAGCCGTCGCAGCCGCCATGCCTGGCCCCGCGGTACTTCCGGTTGGGATGTCTGCGCATGCGCGCCGGGAGGGTCCCGCCCTGCCCCCCCGCCTCCCGGGTTCGCAGCCCTGGGATTCTCCATCTCTCCACTGGGTCTTGCTGCACAGCATGAGTGATATAAGCAAGAAGCTGAAATTGAAGCTAAGATAAGCTATTGTGAGTCCTTCCTGTTGCCAAGAGCCGCGACGCCTGGAACTGAGAATGCGCTCATCCCTGTCACTAGTCTAGTAAGACCAACTGCCTGTCTGGGGTTGGTTGAGCTCAGGTGGCCTGCTGACCAAAGTCACAGAGACAAGTTACCCCTCCGCAAAGACTCCCCACCCAGGCTCTGCCCAAGACGCCTCAGGGAATCCTTTTGAAGGTAGTCTCATCCAACCTTTAGGAAATCTTCACTCATTGATCCCGGAACCGAAATACTCGAAATACTCGACCTTCAATGTCTTGGATAAACAACTCATTGTCCCCCTTTTCTTTTTTAAAGTTTATTTATTTATTTTGAGAGAAAACGAGAGGGAGGGAGAAAGAGAATGAGCGGGGGGAAGGGCAAAGAGCGAGAGAATCCCAAGCAGGCTCTGCACTGTCATCGCAGAGCCCAAAGTGGGTCTCGAACTCACAAACCCAGCGGTCACAACCTGAGTGGAAACCAAGAGTCTGACACTTAACCGACTGAGTCACCTAGGCGCCCCAGCCCCCTTTTCCTTAGGAAGCAGGTTGGAACCTACTTATCTTCAGCTGATACAGCCTTTCTGGAAGACAGCTTTGTAACTCTTTTAAGGCTGAGGATACACTCTGGTTATCTTGATCGCGTTTAGCTGTTTCACAAGTTTCCTAGGTGTATAGAGTGTATGTGATGGGATGGTGAAACAGGTGGGAGAAGGGAATGGATGAGAAAAAGCAACTGGGGAGCAAGGTGCAAAATGAGAAAGAGGTAAAGATCACAGGGCAAGGGAAAAGGGATATATAGCAGGTCTTAGGATGCAAACCTATACACCTAAAATCTTGGTGAAGTTTTTAGTCCTTTCCCTGGTTATCCTCCATCTGCACCCTCTCACCTCTCTCTCTCTCTCTCTCTCTCTCTCTCTCTCTCTCTCTCACACACACACACACACACACACACACACACACACAGAGCTACCCCTCATGCCACAGTAGGGGCTACCTTACACTCTTCATCCTGAGGACCAGGTTTCCCTAGGTCACTGTCTCCACTCTCTCTAACAGTACAGTCATAGTGCTGACCATTTCAGATTATTGCTATGAGCCAGAAGTTCTTATTTCAGGACTTCTCGGGCAGCCCAGCCCCTTCACATTGTCACTGCCCCCACTCTACACCGCCCAGCAGGGATGAGTGCCCCAGCCCAAGTACAAGAATGGCTCACAGCTCCAGCCTCTCTTCTTCTCCCTACAATCCCAGAAGCAAATGCAAAGTCCTGATTTTCCTAAGGATTTTTATTGATAGCCACCAGAGAAACCCATATTGTTCTTTACAAGAATAGAATCAGAGCCCACCACATTTTAGTCCAGAGATCTCTGAATCCGGAGGTCATTTCTTTGTCTGATTCTCCTTAGGTTCCATCTTTGTCCCGGTTTACAGCCCCCTCGGTTCCCAGTGTTTAGTGGAATGTTGGGAGCAGGCGCCTTCATGGACTTTGCCCTGAGAGGAGGGGTCACTCCAACTCCTCTGTAACATTGTAATCTCCGTACCTGAGAAAGTCTCCTCTCTTCCCCGGCTTCCCCTTCGCTTTCTCCTGGAAACTATGGAGAAGACAAGAATCCTGTGGGTGCTAGCCTCAGATCTCTAGATGCACGAAGGAGAAGATTCACTGGCAAATGCGAAGACGTTCAGATAATGCTGCTCCCTTCTATTTTTTCCCCAAATTGTGGCTATCCAGGTGCCAGGTACTTAGGGAACATCACCTTCCTTTCATTATTGCCTTTTTTTTTTTTTTCCCATCACAGCAGAGCTAGGAGCACAGGAAGTGAGAGGCCCAGTGGGAAGTGTTATTTCACAGAGCTACACAGAGCTACGTGGCTGCACACAGAAACACGGAGTCACAAGCCTAGGCATGATGCAAGCTCTACACAGAAACACTGGTTCAAAAGGCCAGACACAAGGTGGACTCGGCAGGAGCAGTGGTGGAAACTGCTGCCCTAGGAACAGAGGATGTGTCCTGAGGAGGTCTCTGCAGAGGCAGTGAGAGAGGAGCCTGCTGTCTGATGCTTTAGAACCCCTGCCCCACCACTCTCCTGCCCACCCTGGACTCCTCAGGGGGCTGGAGTCATAGCTGGGGCTGGCTGCAGGTGTTCCCAAACGCCTTGATCTCCCTGTTGGAAGAAAAAGGGACAGGTCATATGAAGGAGGAATTTGCATCCCACTTCCTTTTATCTACAAAATCTGGATCTGATTCCCCAACCTCAGACCATCTCCTGGAGGCTAAGGCAGCCCTTAGGCCAGAGCAACCAACTTCAGGCCTTCCCTCCACTCCTTACTTCCACTGATATAGTGACTACTATGAATATGTTGTCCCAGGAGCCTGAAAACAGGCTCTTTCCAAAATGTTTTGCCTCCACCCACTGAGAGGAAAAGATGGCAGAGTTCAAGTGTGGGGGAGCTGAGGGGACCCAGGTGAAGGGCCACTTACCATGCCTGGGGAGAGAGCTAGCTGCCCCTTCCTTTCCAGCATCTTCAGTTTTGAGCCCACAGCATCTACCTGGGACATGACTCCTTCCAGGACAGTCTCCAGATGCAGAACTCTCCTTGTGAGTCTGTGTAGGATTTGAGAGAGACCGAGGGAGCAGAAATATGTGCCTGGGGGGCTAAGTGGCTGTAGGGGCAGGGGGGACAGAATGGTCTGTGTCTGGATGAGAGTAAGGAAGGGAAGGCACAGCCTTCTAGGGAGAGTTAAAGTGGGGCAGAAGTTCTTCCTGGGTTAGGGCAGAGAATTACAACGTTGTGGAAAGAAGGTCAAGGAGGACATTATAAACACACTTTGCCCTGGGGCCCTTGTTGCACATACGTGTAGAATTCTTCTCCTGAAACCCAGCCACCTGCTCTGGTAGCCTCTGGACACAACTCGCCTGGTGGGCTACTCACAATGGACCGGCCCAGGTTCTCAATCTCAGCGTTGAGGGCCACCTGATCAGGAAGTCAGAGAGGAGAAGATGACTCTGGGAATTCATCAGCTCCTCATCACCTGCTCTACTAGGACCTCCGGACCAGTCCCTTGGGCTCCAGTTCATGCTAGTCCCCTTCCCTCTCAAACTCTAGAGACAATAGGATAAGTGTGGTGGTGCTTGGACACAAAGCTGGACCAACCTCTGGGGAATCACCTCCCAAAGAAACAAAACATGAGCTCTTGGAAGCCTCGACTAATGAGACCCTCCCTAGAATCCAACTGAATCTGGGAAAGGAAGAACAGTACCAGGATTCCTGCCACTTTCTCTCCTGCCCTTGAATTTTTGGTCTACAACGGATAGGGACGAAGCAGGCACAACTGGGGGAGCTAAGGATCTGAGTTTGAAAATCCCAGGGAGACGGCAAGTCCTCAGAAGGAATTGTCAGAGATTCTTGGGCAATTGATCCTTTCCCTCTAAGACTGTGTTTTATAGCAGTGGTTCTCAACTTTGGCTGTGCATTGGAATCACCTAAGGAGTCTTTTTAAAGCACTGATGCCCGGGCCCGTCACTCTCCCAGAGATTCTGTCTAGGGTATGTGGCCTGAGTATGAGGATTATTTGACTCCCCACCCCCACCTTACCAGCGTATGCTAATGTGCAGCAGTTTAAGAATGACTATTCTAGAGAGTACTTTCCTGCCCATCTATCAAAGGATTTTCAGTTTGGATCTGTGTTCTCGGTATGTTCTCAGGGAGGGGAGAATGAACATTTTTCTTTCGCTGCCTGTCCACCAACCAGCTGGGCTCACCCTCTTCTCCTCGAGGTCCTGTTGCATTTGTTCCTGTTCTTTCTTGTCCAGGATGTGATTCCCATCTTGGTCAAACCTGGTGAAGGCAGCTGTGAGCTCAGTGATCTCATGCTCTGCGTGCCCCAGTCTGAGGAGAACAGTATGATGAAATGACTTCTGGCCTTTTGTGGCCGTGATCTCTCAATTAGGGACTTCCTACTTTTTTCCAGACTCTACAACTCTTGCTCTCTGGGAAAGAAGGGGACCACATGGGAAAGCCAGGATCGCCAAGGTCTAGCAATTTTACTCCCAAGAAATTGCTTTAATCTATTTCTTCCTTCTCTGACTCCTGCTGACTAGATTCAGGCCCTCATGATGTTCTATAGGAATTATTGCAAAATCTCTTTGCCTCTAAATAATCTGTCCCTCCACCCCCACCCTGCTGGCTTCTTCTTCACTCCCTACCCCCTGAAATCCATCCTGTATAATGCAACTAGAGTAATTTATCTTTCTAAAGTGCAGGTCTAACTGTACCCCTCCCCTGCTTAAAATCCCTTCTGGGCACCCTATTCTTTGGACTGAATGATGGTATTCAAGGCCTTTCCCAGGATGGTCCTGGCTCATTCCCCTGGCCTCATTTCTTGCTATGCCCCACTTTTATTTGATAGCTTAGCAACTTACTATTCCTGTATATGTTGCTCAACTTAAAACGTCTGTGCCTTTGTATATGCTTTCATCTCTTCTTGGAGTGGACTTCCTCTGCTTGTCTACATGTAAGCTATCCATCCTCCAAAACCCTATTCATACACCACCTCTTCCAGGAGGTCTTCCCTTAAACTCAAAAATAGAATTGAATACTTTTTTTTTCTGCTCCCTCTCTTCTTGTCACTTCTGTTGTTGAAGTTGTTCTGTGATTCAGTTTATTTGCTTATATGTGTATGAGCTCCTAGAGGACAAAGACTTTGTCTCATTTAATTGTGTGCCCTGCTCAGGGCCTGGCCCACGGCTGGTGCTCACAATGTATTTGTTCAGTGTTTGTTAACATGTTTAACTAGGAGGCAAGGAGGCTAAAGGAATAGGCTAGTGTTTGTGGTGGAGCAAAGAACCAACTACAGAGTTATGTGGGAGTGAGAAATGTATGCAATGAATAGGAAATTATATTATTACATTAGTCCTAATAATTGTTCAACAAGGTCCAGAATGTTACAGAACGTGGTCGGAGACCTTTAAACCAAGGGCACAATTCTGAAGGTCAGAATCAGAGACCTATAGGTCAAAGTCAAAAGCTTAAAGTCAAAGTCAGAGGCCCATAGGCCAAGATCAGAGGTTTTTAGGCAAAAGGTATATGGTTGAGGGTCAAGGACTTATAGACCAATGTCAGAGAATGTTGGATCTCTGGTTGCTCACTCCCTCAAGCTGTTGGTGAAATCCTCAAATTGGATCTCCTGCTCTCCACCCTGCAGGACCTTCTGTACATCTGAAACTCGCTCCTTCCTCAAACGCAGCCTCAGTAGGGTCTTGTTGTAGCCCTGGAAGGAGAAAGGAAACAGGTATGGTTCCTACAGCCTTCTCATCATTCCTTGCCCCCTCCCCCCCACCCACTGGATGCCAGGCTTCCAGGGATAGGTCAAAGGCACACAAGGGCACAGGGCCCTACACCAGTCAGGAACAGACCAGGACACAGAGCCTTGGACTTGGGCCCTGACACAGACGTATCACTCAAAGAGAATGAGTGGTTACCTGTTTCAGGAGGTCAGAAAGTTGCAGCTCATCCTTCTGTCCAGCTAACTCTTCCTTGACCTCTGAATATGTATCATTGATGATGGCCAGGAACATGTTCTGGAGATAAAGTGGGGACTTGAGTCCTCACCCCAGACTCACTAACAGCACTGAGCCCACTAACCCTATTAAAGTCCCAGACATATGTTCTAAAAGGGCCAATGCTTTCAATCTCAGCTCTGCAGGCCAATAACCCCAGCATCTCATGGTTCCAAAGACCCCCATTTAGCACAATCCTGTTAGGGATGGATCAAGCTTCCTCATCCACCTGCTATCTTCACTCAGTTGCTGTAGTAACCTGACTGCAAAGATAGCCCATCATATGCCAGAGTTTGCTTCCATATAAGGGCCTACCAATCACTGAGAGTACAGTTTTGTTGTCTTTACCATCTAACCCCAGTCCAACCCATCTATCCCTAACCATGATCAAATAAAGAAACTTGCTGGCCTTGTCAATAAAAATTAATCCCAGATCTTTCATAGTTGGCAGAGAGAAAGAGAATATAAAGCAATGGTAATAGAAATAGCCAGAAATTCCTAGAGGAAGGGGAGAATAGATATAGAAGATTTCAGGTTCAACTACTTCTCTTCATGGGGCACTTTTCTCTCCCTTTCCATTCTTAGAGAATAGGGGTTTGGTTTTACTGAGAGAGCCTGAAGATTCTCTTACACTCTGCAGACTGCCTGACTGTGCTGGCCATGCTGAGCACATTAGCCAATTCTGAGGTGATCCAGAAGCCCCCCCCCCACTTCACTGTCCATCCCTGATTTGAGATACCCATTTTAACACTGAGTACAGAATATGGGGGGATCAAAACCTCATGCTGTAGGTCCTTTATGTCTCCACCCCTCAGGCTCCCAATTCCCACCTTCCAGAGGGACCCTCACCAGGAGCACGAAGAAGACAAAGAAGACATAGGTGACAAAGTAGGCAGGTCCCAGGATGCGGTTGGCATTGTCAATAGCGTTGTAGTCAAAGTCCCCAAGGATGATCCGGAACTGAGTGAAACTGAGAGACCAGGGTCTGTGCTTCACCTAGGGCCTAACCATAACCCTGTCACCTATTCATACCCCCAAACCGCTTTCCTAACTACCATTCTTCAGTGAATGCAGACAGACCTCTCTTGTACCTCCAGCCCAACCTGATAGAGACATAGTGAGGTGCGCAGATACTTGAACCCATCCACCAGAGATTCTCACACAGATGTTTTAAGCACAGACACACCTGTACACATGCACTTAGCTTCCCCAAGGATACACACACCCACATAGCGGGAGGGAGAGGGTCCAGGAGGGAGTGAAGAGGGCAGGACACACACATGCACTTGATGAAAGTGCTGAAGTTTTCCACTTGGGTCCCAAAAAGCAGGTAGCCGAGTTGGGCATAGGCGAAGAAAACAATGAAGAACATGACAGCAAAACCCAGGATGTCCTTGGCACAGCGGGCCAGCGTGGAGGAGAGCTGAGTCATGGTTTTGTTGAAGCTGATGTACTTGAATATCTGCAAAGGCCATGTGGAATCAAACAGTAAAGGAAGAAAAGAGAAAATCTTTGAATAGTGTACTCCAGGGACTTATGGAGGCCACCGGAGTTGTCAAACCAGACAAGGAAAATGACACAAGTGCTAAACAAGGGAGAATGAGTGCTTTGAGGTGTTGTTGGGGATGAGGGGTCCCAAGGTACCTTGATCCAGGCAAAGAAAAGGTTCACAGCATTCATGTTGTTGTACTGTGTCTGCCAGAAGGCGAGGAACTCGAAGTCAGCATACGTGTTTGGCTGCTGCAGGAGCTTCCCCATCAGCCGGTTCACCTCAAGGGTTCGGAATATGTGGAAGCCCACAGCCACAATAGAGAGCTGTCATCACAGGGGTCAGAGGTGTCAGAGAAGTCAGGCTCTCAAGGGAAGTTCAATGATAAGGTCCTAGGGGAGAGCTGGGGTAGGTAAGTCAGGTGGGAAAAAAATCCTCTCTTCTGAGCTGTTGACTATCTAAGCTTCAAATGGAAGTGAATAGGATGATTGGGGAGTATCTTACATCCTGAAACAAGGCTTTGGGACCAATGGTAAATAGGTAGGTTTTAAAGGACCATGGAGAATTGGAGCCAAGTAATTTTATTTCTCCCATCACTTCCTAGTCTTGGTCAAGGAATTGTGTCCTGTTAATAGGAAGAAGATGAAGATGAAGAGGCAGGCTATTTTAATAGAAGAGAAGAGAAAAGGTAGGAGTTTCAAAGGGACAGATAATAAAGGCAAAAGACAGAAGAGGAAAAGAATATCAAGTGAACCTCTCACAGGTCAGAGTGGGAGGGCATGTGGGAGACAGGGTTTTCCCAGGGGCTGAGCCAGGGGAACATCAGCCTCTGGCTCTGGAAGCTGTTACACAGTGATTTGACTGGAAATCATAAGGAGGACTCGAGACTCCAAAAGGAAGAACTTGGAGCCCCTATCAGGGTAGATCCCCTTCCTCCTCCTAATATATCCCAAGTATAAGATATCTGTCCCTCACCAAGATGACCACCAGGTCCAGAATGTTCCAGATGCTTCTGAGGTAACGAAACTGGTGGATGTGGAGCTCCAGTATCTCCTCTACCACATAGTAAAAGATGAAGATGCAGAAGATGATTTCACAGACAATGATAAAGAAGTCCCAGTTACTGACATAGCGGATCAGCTTAACTGTACGGATTTGCCAAGATGGGATGGCACCTCCTGTAGCTGGAAACTCCACCACCAGTCTGTGGGAGGAAGGGGAGATACCTGGTGAGGCCTGGGCTAGGATAGTTCCTCCAATCCCCTCTCCTCCACGCCCACCACAGGGTACACATTTAAGGAAAGGTCTCAAGCAGAGAAGGGAACCAGGAACCATGGATGGAGGTAAGACAGGGAAAGGAGACCCACCTCAGAACACAGAAAAGGTTGATGTTGGCATTGTAGACTGAGAAGTCAATGAAGACCACCCGAGTGCCCCTGTCTAGCCACAGGCCCTCCTGAAGGTCCTGGAGTGCCTCTGCGCTGGCCTGTCGGGACCCTGGAAGGTCCAGATAGTAGCCACCTCCACTGTAGCTTGTCAGCCGGCCCCAGTGAGAGGAGCCCCCCAGCTCATCCTGCGAGTGGTATGTCCACCTGTTACAGAAGAAGCCATCTGAGCAGAGAGGTCTGAGCCAGTCCAAAAGCTGATCTCCTGAGGCAATGGCAACACTTGATGATTGTCTGGGCATCACAGTTTCATATATATTATATATACATATCATGTATAATATATATTCCACACATATCATCTTGTTTGATACTAACAACTATTTGAGAATGGAGGGTAAATATTATCCACATTTTGAAGACGAGGAACCTAAGACTCAGAAATGTCTAAGATAATCCAGCTAGTTAGTGGCCAAACTAAAACTCAAATATAAATGTCCTGATTTCTCATGATGTCACCCAAAACTATGGATGACAAACCCATGCCCCACTTTTGATCTCAGACTCAGGAGTCCCCACTAGGGAAACACCTGGCTCATATAATACAGAAAAGACCCTTTCTCCTCTTGTGGTTGTGCACCTGGCTGCTTCGCCTCATGATTCTCTGTTCCATCCACAAACTCTCCTCCCTGTGCCCTTCCTTCCTTCCTTCCCCTTCACATCCTGTCCATCCTTTTCCCCTTTCTTTTCTAATTCTTCATTGACCCTTAACCCCTTGTTTCTTCCCCTACAGTTCTAAGGGTCAGACTCTTCCAATGATGACTTGTGTGGCAGCACCAGTGCTTCATCTATTCTCCATACCCATAAGAACACCTGGACAAGAGAATGCTTTCTCTGCCAGGACTGTCCCCAGGGTAGTGCAAATGTGACTGTGACCTGTGTGTGGAAACAAGTCCAGAGGCTATGGTCTTGTTTGCTAATGTATCTTCTCTGTTCCTGAGTGACCCAAACCAAGATCTCCTAACAGTCACAGATGGGACTCAGAGAGATGCTCCCCCTGCCCCTCCCCCAGATCCCCCCAAGGCTCTTTAAGACTAAGTGGAAATCGTTCCCAACCCTTGGGATGGTGTCAGGCTCAGAGAAGCAAGCCTAGCAACATTGGTGGGGGGATTCACTCACGCTGTGCCATTGAGAGGCCCGAAGGGGAGCTGCTCTTCTTTGTCTGGAGAGTAGACGTCGTAGCAGCTCAAAATGTCCTCACGGAAGTCTTCATGCACCACGCAGGAGTCATTGCGGACCCTCAGCTGCCGTAGCCTTGGAACCCCCAGCAGCAGGTTCTCATAGTAGATGAAGGAGTGGGAGCCATGGCCCAGGCTCTGGTTGTTGTACCATTTGGTCCAATACAAACTGTCCAGTAGTGGGCCCTGGGCAAACTAGACCACGAGCTGGGTTGGGCCTAACCTAACCTCATCCTGACCTTTACTCTTGGAATGACCTTTGCCATCACTCCTTGACCCCCTGGCTTATCTCTAGTCTACTTCTGTTGGATCCCTCAGCTGACCCATGAACTTTGACCACTTCTTGACCTGACGTGACCCTACTTTTTGTTTGAGATGCATTTTGAAGTTCAGCCTTACCTCTAACTCCCAATATTAGTTTAACTAGTATAGCTTGACTCTCTGGTCATCATCCCAATTTCTCATCTATCTCTACCTAAACTCTACTCTGACCCATTGATTCTTGCCTGACCCTTTGACTTGGCCTGATTCTAGAATAATCTGGTCTCTGGATATGGCCTGGTCCACTGTCTGACATCCCTGAACCCTGGCCTGTGGCTTCATGCTTCAGGCCATTGAGAAGGAGAAAGGAGAGGTAGAGGGTATCTCATACTCACGTCCCAGAAGTCCGCCATGCTGCTGATGGCCTGGAAGGAGACTCCGGTGTCTGACGGGGTATGTAAGAAGAGCTCAGACATCACTTTGGTGTAATAATAGGCACTGGAGCTTGTCATTCCGTAGGTCACTAGAAACCAACCCAAGAAGCTGTGTCCTGCTCACTGTTCCCATATCCATTCCCCAGAGAAGATAGGAAAGCCCATTGCCCTGGGGACAGAGGTGCTATCTAGATGGGATCCCATGGCAATAGTGGCATTGGGGAAACCAGGGAATTTATTAGGGAAGAGTTATGACTATAAGGTCTCTTCCTCTCCTCCCAACTTACCTTAGAAAGACTGAACTCCACTCAGAAATAGTTTTTTAGATTGTCATTCTGAAAATCCACTTTTTTCTTCCCAAACCAGCTAACTTCCTAGTTCTTATTCCCCAGAGCCAAGATATTTCCACCTTCTGCATCAGGCAGTGCTTCCTTTCCTTTGTCCTATATTTATGCCTTTGGAAAAGTACCTTTTAATTCTAGAGTAGTCCAAGGCCCTGGCCAAACACCTTACGTGGAGATTGGTGTCCTGGACCTTGGAGTCAGTGACTCCACAGCCATGGGAGTGGGAGGTAGGCATGGCACCTCTGGCCCCAGGGCATCCTGAGGGGGCACAGTTATCTCATGAGGGAGGGACTCAGAGCATCCCCATCAGAAAAAGACCAGGCTTTTGCATTGAAACTGAATCTCCCTCAACCACCCTAACCCATACACCCAGTCTAAAGTAGGGATCTCAAGGGAAGCTATAAGTTTTCTAGCTAAAAGATAAAATTTGACGAGTATAAGCTATTTATTTTATAGATTGTCCCTCAGTCTAGATTTGCCTGATGTTTCCTTGTGTTTAAAAATTCAGGTTATACATTGGGCAAAGCATACCAAAGAAGATATGTGTGTTCTTCTCAGGGTTTCCTATCAGGAGGCATATATTGTCTAATTGTATCATTACTGGTGATGCTAACTTTCATTCCTTGTTAAGGCAGTATCTTCCAGCTATCTTCAATGTAAAATTATTTTTCTCTTTGTAATTAATATGTATCTTGTGGGGAAACACTTTGAAACTATGTAAATATCCTTTTACTCATCAATCTTTCACCTACTAGTTTTAATATCCTTTAATGACTTTTGCCTGATTATTACTATTAAGGTTGTCAAGATTTGATTTTCCCATTACATCATTCCTTCTGCATTTGTTAGTTAGCATTCTCTCTAGGAAGAACTTACCTTTCTTCCTCGTTTATTTATTCATTTCTATATATCAGCATGAACTTATGGATTCTTGTTTTTATAGTTTTTAATTTGTTAGTATTATACTTTATTGTTACTTAATTTTTTAGCCAAGTCATGCAGGATAAAGAAAAACTAAAGAGTTGTTCCATATTAAAAAAAAAAAGAATAAAGAAACATAAAAACTAAATGTAACATGTGCATTTAGCGAGGATTAAATCCTGGACAATAATTTATTTTCTTGTACTACAAAGACTATTAGTGAAACAATTGGTGAGATTGTAATAAGGTCTGTTCATTAGATGATAGTACTGAATCAATGATAATTTTCTTTCATAAGAGAATGTCCTTGTTTTTAGAATTACATATTAAAGTATTTAGGAGCAACAGGGCATTATGTCTGCAATTTATTCTCAAATAGTGTGTGTGTGTGTGTGTGTGTGTGTGTGTGTGTGTGTGTGTGTGTCTAGAGAAAGAGAGAGAGATTGGGAGAGAGAACAATAAGGAAATGCAAGCATGGTAAAATGTACACATTTGGGAAATATGGGTGAAATGTATATATAAGAATTCTTTGTATTATTCTTGCAGCTTTTCTGTAAGTCTGTAATTACATCAAAAAATTAAAGTAGGATTTTTCAGTCTCTTATGGGCAATTCTCTTTAAGAATTTTCTTTTTCAAATTTTGGGCTGTACTTGCTCCTACCACCCCTGGAGCTCATCCATAGTCTTGTAGGAAAGAGGGACTGGTGAGTGATCCTAGAATAGGCACAAGCAACATCACACCTTTCCGGGGGAGAAATCTGCCAAGAAGGAAGCATTATGGCTTCACATTCCCTCATTCTGCTCTTTTTAAGTCCAAGAAACAACTTGACTCCTCTCTAATTCAAATCTGTGATCATCTTCCCTTAGTATCTGGAGGACTCATACTCAGCTTTTTAGGACTTGGAAAATGGGTTGGAAGTGAAGCTTCTGTCTGTTGAGAACCCAACCACAGAGTAAGAATGATCAGTAAGCTGAACTTTTCCTAATGCCATAGGCTGATTAAATTGATATAACTTCTAGATGGCCACTAGGTGGTGCTCTTGCTGTATCTTTTTCTCTCCAATTCTCCAATCCTACTCAGAATTACTACTCAGAATTAACATTGTTCTGAACTGGTTGTCAACCCCATATGGAGATGTAGCATTTCTGATTATTATCCAAGATAGTAAAGACTATGTATTTTGAGAAAAATGGTTTTACCTGGTCAAATGCCCACCGATACTCAGAAACAGTATTCTTTGTAACTTTTTAATTGAAGTATATGCAAACAAAAAAGACCAAGAAGTTGTTAAAAAACCTCTTGGGGGCACCTGGGTGGTTGAGCATCTGACTCTTGATTTCTGCTCAGGTCATGCCCTTGCCCACGCTCAGCATGGAGTTTGCTTGGGATTCTCTCTCCCTCTCTCTCTGCCTCCCCCCCCCCCCAAACACACACACACACACACACACACACACACACACACACACACACACACTCGCTCTCTCTCTCTCAGTAAATAAATATTTATAAAATAAGTAAATACATAATAAAAATGTTCTAAATTAAGGTTTAAGCCTTGTTTGCTGCCTATTCACTACCTTCTCCCCACCCAAATACCTTCTCTCCCTTGTTAATTCTTACTTCAGCAAATTTTGTACTTTGTCTCAGGAGATAAGGGGTGTTTACCCACCCACCTCTATGAAATTCAGCTTACTATTTTGAAAGCCCAAATCGATACTTGGTAGAACATATTATCAGTCTACCAACCTTATTATTCTAAAGACACACTTTATATTCATTAAACAAACATTACTCGGGGCGCCTGGGTGGCGCAGTCGGTTAAGCGTCCGACTTCAGCCAGGTCACGATCTCGCGGTCCGTGAGTTCGAGCCCCGCGTCGGGCTCTGGGCTGATGGCTCAGAGCCTGGAGCCTGTTTCCGATTCTGTGTCTCCCTCTCTCTCTGCCCCTCCCCCGTTCATGCTCTGTCTCTCTCTGTCCCAAAAATAAATAAACGTTGAAAAAAAAAAATTTAAACAAACATTACTCAAAGTCCAACATGTGTGAAACACATGGTCATTGGTTTCTATCCTTAAAAACTTCTATTGAGAAAGATGTCCCAGAATGAACTTTCTTTAGTACATCTTTAACATTTAAAATTGAATTATACAGAATAGAATCTTTTTTCTTTTTTTTTTTTTAATTTTATTTTTTAATTTACATCCAAGTTAGTTAGCATATAGTGCAACAATGATTTCAGGAGCAAATTCCTTAATGCCCCTTACCCATTTAGCCCATCCCCCCCTTCCACAACCCCTCCAGCAACCCTCTGTTCTCCATATTTAAGAGTCTCTTATGTTTTGTCCCCCTCCATGTTTTTATATTATTTTTGCTTCCCTTCCCCTATGTTTATCTGTTTTGTATATTAAGGTCCTCATATGAGTGAAGTCATATGATATTTGTCTTTCCGTGACTGAGTAATTTCGCTTAGCATAATACCCTCCAGTTCCATCAGAATGGAATCTTTTAATAGTATGCTGACCTACCCTGATCATGTATGCACTCAGAATGAACTTGTAGAATAAGCATGAGCTTTGAAGCCAGATTGACCTAGGTTCAAATCCTAGCTCTGTCACTTACAGTATAGACTTGGGCTCTGAGTCTCAGATTCCTCATCTGAATGGGGGAATACAATGTCTTTCTTGTAATATTATGAAGATAAAAGATGATGTCTTTAGAATGCATTGAACACAGTGGGTGCTTAACAACCAGTTCTAGTCATCCCACTATATGCTCCTGAGGGGACAAGGACTATGACTCATTCATTTAGCATGGTGCCTGGTATTTAATAGTTTTTCAATAAGTGTTTGTTGGGCTGAACCAAAAGTGGGGGGAAAATTGCCATGTAGAGTAGAATGAAATAAATGAATAATTTTCAAACTAAATAAGGTGTTATGGCTCCATATTTGACACATACCAGCAATATCATAAAACAGTCAAGGATAATTCCTATTTAATAGACGGAAAGAGGCTAGAATATTTAGTCCAAAGAGAGGAATAAATTCATAAAGTCTCAGGTAAGAGAAACAAAGCCAGTCCTTGGCTGATGTATGAAGCAAGTAAAGTCAGCAACCCTTACACAATGTGATGGTAGAAATGTTGGTGGCACAAATCAATTTTCCTAACATGTCAACTGTCCAGAACACCAGATGAATACGAGGCTTAGAGGTTGCAGCAATCTAAACCCAAAAGCAGGGCAGGAGAAGTCCAGGATTGCTAGATTGAGTGATGATTTCAGCTCCTATGTCTCATAATATGATATGGAAACTGCAGCATGCATCAGAATTACTTAGAAGGCTTATTAAAACAGAGATTGATGTAGGTCTATATGGGGCATGATAATTTTCTTTTTTTAATTTTTATTTATTTATTTATTTTGAGAAAGAGTGTGTGTGTTTGTGTGAGCAAGAAAGGGGCAGAGAGAAAGAGAGAGAATCCGAAGCAGGCTCTGTGCTAACAGTGCGGAGCCTGACACGGGGCTTGATCTTGCCATCTGTAAGATCATGACCTGAGCCTAAATCAAGAATCAGATGTTTAAGTGACTGAGCCACACAGGTGCCCCAGGGCTCAATAATTTTCATTTCCAATACATTCCCATGTATTGCTGATGCTACTGGTTCTGGGACTGCACTAGAATCACTGCCATGACCTTTTGCTATATAATCCCACTTGTCTTTGATAGCATCGTCAAGAAGGCAGGGGGTTTCCTATTGTCTGTTTCTGTGATTCTCAAGACTGGAAGTACAGGGCACCTGAGTGGCTCAGTTAGTTAAGCACCCAACTTTC